ATAAAAGGTTTATTTTGAAGTCCTCTGTGGTAATTAAGTCAGTTTCCTCCTTCCTGCATTGTGGTTTCAACGTTGAAAGAACTTTTCTTAGTAATTACTAAGGTTTTGAAGATTTTTCATTAATGTTGCTGTTTTGTTTGAGAGAATAAGTTCAGCGGTATTGACTCAATAAAGCCCACTATACATTTAGTAAAGGCCAATTACTCCACCCTACTGAAACAGATACAATACGTCTGAGCTGTACACCCAATAAGGGCTACAAAATAAAATGACAATGTTATGAGAATCCACACAATATTTTAGACATATAAGTTTCATGTTTCTTTTTGGGAAATCTTTGGATTTCTTCTCATTCTACTTATGTAAGGATAAAAGAAAAACAAATCTGAATTCATTGTGCTACTGACAAATTATATTAAACCAGACAAATAAATATTATTCACGAGAAAAAAAAATTCATTACTGTTATGATTACATACAGGATATTATGCCAACCATGCTTGGCCGACACATGTGGTAATTAAAGCTGAAGATAACAGATATGATCTAAACTGAGAATCTTGACAGCTCTCTGTCTTCACTTTAAATGCTGAGCTACTGTTAGATAATGTCATATTTTACCAGACCAACCGATTAGGCTGCTGGAGTTCTTGATAAGGAAGCTTATAGAAAATGTAATTTACTTAATTCTGACAATTTGTTACAATATGGTAGCCTAAGCTAACTAGTTACAAGGTGGGAAAATAACATGAAAAGGCAGATAAAGCAAGACTTGTAAACAGCATGAGTAAGCTATCCATACAAACATATTATACAGAACTTAAAAACATATATTTAGCTCTATCTGACAATTTTACAATATACATAAAATAATGTGAAAAATAGAGGTAAAGCTGTTTCAACTATATGGGGAAAAACATAGTAAATGCTTAATAATGAAAGTGATAAAAAAAGATGCTATTTGAATCACGCTTAGAAGGTACCTAATTATCACTGTGCATGTTTATATGGCTGATGGACCTGACAATAATACTAATGGCGCGTTTCCACTACAGCGCGGAGCACGGTTTAAGAGGGCTGTGACGTCAGCGGCCCGTCTTTGGTTGCGTTTCCACTTGGCCTAGTACCGGCCGGCGGGTCCTAATTCACAGTTTTTCTGGCCTCATAAAATTGCGGGTCTAGGGCCAGAGACAACGAGGCTGAGTCGGGCTGAGTATGCTAAACTAGAGAGAGCGTCGCTGGCAAGGGGGCTACAACTACAACAAGATGGACATATTTGACCGTGATTTAATTGTAATACACGTTTCAAAATGATGCCGAAGTAACAACATACTGATACCGGTTAGTAAAAACCATGAATTAATGCTTTGTCAAGTCTGCAGACAGACGGCAGGCGAAAAACCTTTTAAAATGCGTGTTTTTCTAGATGGAGATTGGCTAAGCTAACGCAGTATATGCTCCGACCGTCCACACTCACAACAACGGCCTATACAGACATAAATAAAGCAGCGACTGTATTCACCATGACACAGGCAGTCTGTGGTTTGTACTTGTTTAACTTTTGTCTAGTTTCTGAACATATATGAGGAGCTGTGAGCTCTGAGTGCTAACAGCTAACGGCTGTGTTGTTTTTCTGGAGTTCTCTGAAGATCACGTCACGGCTCCGCCTACACTGCGTTACTATAGATACTACCCCAGTTCCTAAACTGTAATGGAAATGCGCCATAAAGTGAGCCAGTCCTAACGAGGCCCAGCCATACCGAGCGGGGACGAGCGAGGCCGTGTAGTGGAAACGCGCCATAAGATGTTCTTAAGAGTGTATGCAGATATAAAGCTCTTATTATAAGAATCTGCAAACAGGGTTGATTCTGTACTAGATTTTATGCAGGACAATCGGGCACAGGAAGGTTTGTTGATTGGGACAGGTTACGCTTCAAGATTTCCAATATGGACACCGTACCATGCATGGTGCCCCTTGGATGTATCATATGCATGTTTTAGTGTTGTTGTTTTTTTAAACATTTCTCTTCTAAACAAAAGCTTGGATAACAAACCTTCTCAAAGAGTGGTGACAGCAGAGAAAAACACTAGGCTAAACAGAGAAGCTAATGATACCCTTGGCCGGCTGTAAACAAGAGCGATGTGTTGCTGAGACATCAAGAATTTGACCAACCACTGACAGAGAACCTAAAATTAGCTTAATGTTTACCCCCACTGGACAACAACGGCTAGAAACACATTCTTGTGAGGGCCAAAAGTGAAGTGTACTGCACATGGATTTGATCTATAAACAGTTACGGTATCTCAAGAGCAAACAGTATTTTTACTTCTCAATAATAAGTACCAGTTTGTTTATAAGATTTTACAGTACATAAGATGTTTCTTGAAGTATGTGTTGTGATCTACCAAAACTACACCTCGTCTGTTTCTTATAAAATGATTCCTCCGTATTCACACTGCCAGTACTGATGTTTAATATTTCCCAGGGGATAGTGGTGGAAATTTCATGGAGTTGCTTGGAATTTAGCGTTTTAAAGACTAAGAGGGGGTTGTACTTACTGAAAATATACAGGAAAAAGGAGTAAGTAGAAGAGGAGGATCTCAGGCAGAGAGTTAGATAAAGGAGGATTAGGAAAGCGAGAAAATAAGTGAGGAAAATAAACATGCGAACGGCTGCCGAGCACTGGCTCAGCAGAGGTACTTCCCCTTATGTGCACAGCTGGAATTGTGAGACGGTGAGCAATACTACCCGCTCTGCTCCCAGACTCTGACACAAGCAGGGGAATTTAGCTTCTCTGTGCTAGGATATCTCAAAAATAGCACTGGATAAGGGCATGGCAGCAACTCAACAACAAGGAAGTAGACTGCAGATCTCCCTAGTTGACATAATCAATGGCAGAGAATTACCAGTCAACAATGCACAAGGTCATTTATTTAATAGATTTAGAACTAGTGCAACATGAAAGGTCTAGTTTCCAAAGGAATTAGGTCAACATTGCAAGACTCTGCATCCCAAGATTTCCACCAACGTCTAGTACCAATACAGGAAGTCCTATGAAGCAAAAGTAAGGGTGTGGAGGTCATTGTTGTGGATGGACATTTGCAAAATTCAATTCAATTATTACCCGGAGGAACTGTATGCGAGAACATACATTTCCAAATGGGTTGGGACTCTGACATCAAACTTACTTTACCCTGCTAGCTTTCTAGAACCAAGTCTGTGTAATGTCCGAATTCACACTTGTTTGAATAGATCCACTAATTCTCCGAATTCAAGGTAAGTGAGTGGGCATTGGAGAAAACTAATATCCAAAGAAGAAGAAAGGTAATTTAAGCAAAGACGCCAACGGAAATGTTTCAATGGAGAGACAACAACATTCGGGAACTTCTGTCAGCAGGGGCAAACTTGGACTTGGACGTTTTGACTCATTAATGAAACTCATGCACCTAAACCAAACAGAGTATTTCCAGTAAGTGGGACACACTCCTGTTGGGTGATACATGGGTGAAAGTGAACCTCCGGTGAATCTAGTTCGGATGTTGTCCAGAGTTATGAAAAAATGGCTTGAATTAGAATTAGCTTTTGCCTGTTTATTAACCCTGACTACAATTTCCCCTTACCTTAACTAAGTGTTTTGGTTGTTTAACCTTAATCATATCTGAGCAATATTATACTTGCCATAACCAATATCTGTCCCTGACCTTAAACATACAGTAGTTGCTATTTACAGACATTGCAGAAAGATTAAAGGATAAGGTTGTATGCATAAAGTACCTTCTGATACTGTAGCTAAAAGCTTTTTTTTTGTTGCTATATTTGCTTCAAAATGGAGTATAATTCTTGAGAGGAACCACAATGCCTGATAGGGAAGGGCATACAAAAAAGATTAGAGCTTTCGTTCTGGTACAAACATTTTGAGTTACTTGCAAAGTTATTTTACACCTTTCTGGTTTGTTGAACCAGAGTACCTCTGAAAAAGGTGAGAATATATTAACAAGACATATCTTACTTTGAAAAAGAAATGGCAAGATCTGAACATTTAAAATTATTATTTATGGGCGGAAAATTAATCGTGGTTAATGCATAAATACAGGTTTTCTGGAACGTTTAGTGATGTAATAACCCCTTTTTTGTTTTGCTGCAGATTGTAATACTACACAAACATTAAAACCACACCTAGAAAGCACTGATGCAATCAGTCCTTGAAAACCAGTTCTGAAACTAGACGTGCAATTAGTCAAGATACCATTATCTCATACTTTTATCTGGTTAAAGTCAACATTTACGTCAACACTTGAAACATTAAAAACAACAAGAGGTACATTTCCTGGAAGTCTAGCTATCACGAACCTCCTAATCTTTTGAAAGATCTGTTATTAATACCAATCATCCAAGTGCTGGGTAATCTATAGGCTTTATTACAGGGTAGCTTGACAAACATGTTCTAAGCAAACTAATACAGCCCCTTTATCCTGTCTGGGCTAGCTTGCTATTGAATCACGACTTAACTGAGATAATCAGATTTGCAGATAACCAGTAAGTCAAAACAGAGTTTATGGCATGGCATAATGAAATACAACTTCCAGTTATTGCAACATTTCCATTTAACAGTGCACACCCATGGTGGCTAGTTTGCTATTACAAAGGGTGTACAGTATGCGCCACTGCTGAAGTCCTGATCTGAAATTTGACAGATCTGTCTGACATTTAGGACCGCATAGGAGAACCATGCAATGTGGTAAAAAAAGAAACATTGAAAAAGATCTGGCTTTAGCAAGTGGAAAAATAGAACAAAAACAAACCATGTTATGAGGTTGTTTTCTTGTGCAACAGGGTAATCAAATAAAGCATATACTTTCTTTCTTTCTTTCTTTAGCCTTTATTTAACCAGGTGAAAAATCCCATTGAGATCAACGATCTCTTTTTAAAATAAACCACATGCAATACATGTACATATTTTAGTCCACAAAAATTGATTCTCATGAGTGGAGATACTCACTGGCAGTTCTGAAGGCTCCGGAAGAAACTCGGCATCTTCTCCGAAAATGAAATCTGGAGGCAATTCTGGAAACTGTGCATTGAATATAATGTCCCCTGGGAAAAGAAAAGAAGAATTGGATTACCTTATGGACTAATAACATGGACAATATTCATTAATGTTATGTACTATAAAATGACCAGAATGTTTTAAGTGATCTTAACAATTAACTGGGTGTCTTACTCAGCCCAAAAATGCAATTTTCTTTCAACAACAATAAAACAGTGTCATTCATTAATTTAAAAGTTGGCAATCCACGTTACTATGTAGTTTTAGGAAATGGAGATTCATTTGATCCCATTGCTAGAAAAGAAAAACTGCAGTGGGAGCGGTTTGATGTTTTATGATCCTAAATCTGATTCTGCCCTGATTTCTAGAACATATAGGGTTCTTCAGCCTGTACCCATTGGAAAACCCATTACTTAAACCTTGTATAAAGAGGCTTTTGCCTGGAAACATCTGTGGGGGTTTTATCTGGATCATATCTAGATTGACAAATACTTTATTTATCCGAAGTTGGGAAATTGTTTAGGTAAATTAGTAAATTAAATATCCACATTCTAAGTGGTCAAGTGCCATTGAACCCATCCATTGGGTTCTACAAAGAACATTTTGATATTCTTTGAGTTGTATCTAGAACCCACCAAGGGCGCTCTTAAAATAGTCTTTTGTAAAGTCTTACCTTTAACCCTCTTATCTTCTGGGGGTCTGCCATATAGTATTTAATGATATGGAGATTATTGAGTTCCATATAGTGTATATTGTCTTTAGGGTAACCCACTAACTTTAGAGTTACTATGTTGAACAATGTCCAGCGCTTAGAATTCAAAAGGTTCCTCATGTCATCTATTTTCTTGGGGTGTGTCTGCTTTTTGACGAACACTTTCTTCGAATAAGCTTTTAGACAATAAGCAAGTAAGAACCCCTTTTCAAACCCTTATTTACAAACGCACTGTAATGAACACACTTTCATTGGAGCCTTCCAAACAGGTGTTTTGTGTAAATCATTGCATTTGTAGTTTTAATAAAGCACACATTACGTAGTAGTACGTTTGGTTTTAATTTATGTATCCACATTTGAAACAAACAAGTGCCAAAATACTAAAAGAAAAGAAACCCCTTTAGGTAAAAACAGACAGGAAATGGCTGCCGCTGAGGCAGGGACAATACTGTTATAATGTGATCGCATAACTCATTGCTTGTGCTGGTTCACAATGTTCTGATATAATGTTACACAATTCTATTTGTGTGCTGCAAGACTGTCCTGTTCTGCTTTTCTTTGCCGTTCCTGAGGCCGCAAGAGGAGGCAAACTTAGACATATGGAAATGTTTTTTTTCCAGCGGAGAAGAGTCAAACAAGGAGATGAGAGGATGTGCTGTAGATCCTTTACCAACCACTGGCAGCCAGTCAGAGATGTACTGGCACGGTTCCAGAGGGAAATGGGGGTCATGGATGTACAACCTTTACAGGTTACATAGGCTTTCATATATTGCTTTGTTCATACAGCCTCAGACATCCATGAAAAGTGCAGTCTAGTCACTGCATAATGTGCCTTCTTAAAGTCTTACTTCTGTTTCAGCCAGGCATTTTATTCAGGTCAGGAGGGAGTCAAATGTACAACAACAAAGACCAGGAATTGTTGTTTAGCAGAACCAGCCGCGGTGGTGAAGTGGAAAGGGGCTGGGCCTGCATTAATAGAGTGTGCCTTGGATTTTGCACGCAGGTCCATAGACTGGCAGACACCAACCTGCGGCTCTGCATCCTTGATTAAACAAACGTTCTTCCTCAGGCTAAAGCACAGGAAGGCACAGCAACTAGTACAACAGCTGCAGACATGTCGCATGCCAGTGCCCTGTTCTCCGTTGTTGTTTTGCCAGGTGCAAAGGTTTTAAGACTCCTTTTCTAACCTTTGACATATATTTTGTACATGGTAGGTTGTATTACTTTAAGGGTAAGGATAGGGAAGATTACATGGCTACATCACAGTATAAGGAGTATTTTTAAAATGATTTATGTGCATTCCTCAGCCTTATGTCCACATATTCCTCGAGTCTAGCTACTACATCTCCACATAGGTCAAAATCGTTTTTGCTAAATTTGCTAAATAAGCAAAGCGTACTTCCCCTTGCTAGAGGAGGGTTTTCCCCCTTTAAGCAGAGCCACATGTTGACCAAAGTTTATAGACAGCCCAACAGGACTTCATACAGATAACCTCTTTGAAATGATCAACTCCTTCCTTAACCGCAGACCGGGCACCATTAACTGAACGTTGTACAGTAGGGCATCACTTTATTTATATTTCATATTGAGACCTGTACATTAACTGAAGCACAAAACCCCCTGTCAAGAAATCATCAGAATCAGAATACCTTTTTTTTTCGTCCCACAGAGGGGACATTTGCAAAAGTAAATATAAGGAAACTACTCAGTAGTGAGAAGGAGCTGCAGGTTGCCATTCCGTGCGGCGCCAAATATTACACTAATTGTCATCGTCAAAAACAGAAATGTTTGCGAAGTAATGGAATTGTCTGGCCTGTATGCTGAATGCTTTCATGGGGAATTCTTAAATCAATATTTAAGCTTAAAAGAATGATGGGCGGCGTGTGGTGCAGTGGGTTGTGCGTTGGTGTTCGGATCAGGGGAGCACAGGTTCAAACCCCACTGCAGTCAGCATGTCGTTGTGTCCCTGGGCAAGACACTTCACCCCAAATGGCTCCTGTGGGGATTGCCCACAGTATTGAGTATGTAAGTCGCCTTGGATAAAAGCGTCTAACAAGTGATTTAATGTAATGTATTTGTTTACATAAAGAAACGGTTAATAATGACAAGATCCTGGGAAAAACATTCAATTCAACTGGGAAGCTGAGATTAACTTGATAAGACCAATAGACATTGACAGAAAATTCGACTGAACGAGAGGTGTTTCAAAATAAAACACTTCAACATGTATGGCAAGGCTACTGTATCTTGGAAGTGGGTGACAATATGGGTGAAAGACCCTGCCTTGAGCTCTGTTGAATGAAAATGTGTAAAATAATGGGTGCATTCATTTTGATAACTAGGTATTTAACAAGCGTTGTATGCATCTGTTGAGTCGCTTTGACAGTTATCTCATGAAGCTTTTGAGGTTTTTGTATACCACATAAATGTTTATAATCACTTAACTTTAGGACGCATGCTCACACAGGAAAGTCTGTGATGTGGGGAGTGATTCAGAAGGGGGAGACTCTTCCAGTAAAGGTTCAGTGGCATCAACGACAGCATGTTTACTGCCCTCCTCTCACTGATTGAACACCTCCTTAATCACAAAAAATGTTCATCTTGTTTTTGCACTGAAAGAATTCCTGTGGGTGCTTTTGGTCTTGCCTTTAAAACTTCAATTACAAAACATTCCCACGGTGCTGTTCGGTTAATCATGCATTTTGTTACAGTCCTACCAATGTGTATAAGGTATTTTAATTGTCAAAATGTTAATAGTCGACCAAAATACCTGCCAGACTATGTCTGCTGTTTTCATTAAGCCTCTGTTCCGTATTAGTTTTTTAAAACGTGCCCATTTATTTTCATACATTTGAGATGTTAGCCTTTGCAGACCATTAACATGCACATAAACCTATATAACACACTACAGGAAGGGAAAGGAAAAACAGGTTCCCTTGAAGTGTCCTGAATATGTTTTGAAAGTGATCCACTAGTGTTGACTTCAGCGCATGTTGACCTGAAGTTACCAGCCTACTGCGAGTCATAAACTCTACAAAACTAACAAAGGAGTGTGGTTATTATTCAGCTGAAATTACATTTATTTAGCACTAATGTTTCTTTTTTTAGTGCAGACCCATTGTTGCAGACGACCAATCAGCTAACATGAGCAAAGAGGGAAGTCTGCAAATTGAAATGATGTGGGCACTTACAATTTAGTGCAGAAAAAAATGAATTTAATCAAAATGGACTTTTGCAGTCGCTGTTTGAATTGTTCAATCAGCAACAACACAAATCAATCTAGGAATACATTAAAATACAGATGAACAGACAAGCCTGATTCAAGCCTTGGCTGACCCCTAGCTTAGTTTACTGCTTCTTGGTGAAATGATAAGGCAAAGCAATGGTTCCTAATAGATTTGTTTCATTTGCTTCCAAAAAAGTGTTGCCAAACTACAACAACTCATCAACGTAAGACTCAATAAATGTTATTGACTCTTCAAACTGACACTCAACTGTTAGGAGATGAGTCATTTACTTACATTTCAGCGTTTCTCCAGCGTAGGGGATGTGAAGTTTGAAGCGATCACAGCAGGGACCGGGGGTCAGAGATATACATCTGAACATGGAAACAACCAAATACATGTTCAGTCTACTAGCCTGAGAACACAATACAGTGAGAATCAGAAAGGTTGATGATCAATTAAACCCAGAGGTGGAAGAGGTTCTTTTTTACTTAAAGAAAAGTACAAATACTATGGTCTTTAAAAGTACTCACGATGCACAATGGCTTTTTTCACCATATTATGTTATTATAAAGTAGGCTACTATATTAACCTGTTTTTTAAATACATAAACATTATTTATTATTTTAAACAGGTGGATTTATTGTGCAGTACCAGATCTTATCATATACAGTAAGTATATCATGTGTTTTTTATATTGGAATATACATGTTACATGCAAATGTATTGAGTGGAAGTATAATGTAGCAGGGAAGGAAATACTCAAGTACTGTTATCTCAAAATAGTATTGAGTAAATGTAATGACTAACACTGATTAAACCAAATTCTGCACACTTCATATTGTTGCCTTTCTGATACCAAATCACTACTCTGTCACTTTGAGGCCTTTTCACTCACACAACAAGGATTTGCATATTTGACATTAGCCTGTCATTTGTACTTAAAGGGACAGTTCTCCCAAAAATAAAAATACATATTTGTCCTCAGACTTGTAGTGCTATTTATCTAGATCATTTTTTTCTTGTAAATTGTTGAGCGTTGGAGCTATTGTCTGTAGAAATGTCTGCTTCTCTCCAATATAATGGAACTCGATGGAACAGTGCCTGCAGTGCTTAAGGTTGCAACAAAAGTTGAATGTAGGAACTATTTAGCAAAAATACTGCAAATACCAGTTACTCCAAGATCCAAACTCTACTATAGTTCTGACTGGGCAGAATGTAGTCTTGACTCATTATGTGTATACAAATACTACACAAATATAATATCATGCTTACAGAGTTTCCCCTATATTCCACCAATCTTTCTCATATAACTCAAAGGCCAAATCACTGCAGTGAAACATGTACTAATGGAACCGCTGAGTTCCACATGAGGAACTTGTGGTCCAAAAGTGTTTCTCACCCAGTTTTGAGGTCTGTGACTCGGAGACAGTTTGTGGAGTCCAGTCCCACGCGGCCGTTCCTCACAACGCTGCACAGCAAGGGCCGCAGCTCAGGGGAGATCCTGTGAAGGGCCACCTCAGGGGAGATGTCGTTCATTTTATCCGCTCTGAGTGATGAGTCTGTGGAGATACAATATACAGAAAAGCTTTAATGTTATTTATAAAAACAGCATTTTACTAGGAAAAAGCATGTATTTGTACTGGAGATTCAAATGACATGAGCTAATGTACACCACATACATTGTCATTTTCATTTGTATTCTTCAGGTTTATTAGCAGGTAGGTTGACACGCACGAGGAATTTTACTTGATGTCATGGTGCATACATAAAAGTAAAACAAAAATGTAAAAACACAGATAGAGAACTATTTTAAGAAAACTATAATAACACAAAAAAATAATAAAAAATATAGCAGTATTTACATAGAAATAGAATGGAATAAAATATGGAGAGAATTAAATGAAGAGAAAGTATAACACAAATCAGGTAAACAACAGCATTCAGAGCAATAAAACACATTACATGACTGTGTCAAAAGACAATATATAACATTATTCAACATCTGTTCAGCTGTCATTTCCGGGTGTCAAGGGAATGTTTGTATGAAAGTCAGAAACAGCTTCCTGTTCTTTTCTGATTTTTTACTTTCTAGCTCAAAATAGGCAGATGTTTATTCAACTCCTGGGTGTTAGATAGTTAAGATAAAACCAAAGTAACGTTTAGGGCCATACAATGTTAGCTATGACACTACCAACCCCTTTCCCCTCACTATAATGTAGACAGGCCACAATGAATGGCAAAATACAAATAAAATAGAGTTAGTATCAAGCTTATGTTGTACACGTTGGTTGTGGTAAACTAGTACACTCAGTATCTCGGGGGATATTAGTCTGTACTCTACATGTTATGTCAGTGTATATGTTCGTAAGCTTGCTATCGTTAGCTTGTTAGCTTACCACAGAACGGAACTTCAGTTTGCTACACTTTGAACAACTAGCTTACTCTAAAAAATAATCTATCTATTATTGTTAATGTTGATACAACATGCGGTGTAGGTAAGAGTACCTGAAAGAGCTGGAAGTCAGATCATTTAAGCATTAACTCCAATGTTTACTTCATGCACTTAACATTTCCGGTACATGTTGTTAGGGTCCTTTTGATTGCCCCCCACTTAGCCGTCTGTTATAATGCCTGTTGACAAAATGAGTGTTTTTACTCCCTAGGCCAAATTCTGCGGTAACATATAACTCATTTACTATTTTTGGCTTTCCATATTTATACGTTATACATTCTAGACTACACAAAATGCGTATGCACTAATAAAGTGACAATATTGGGCCAGGCAATAGCTATAACGTTCCCAGCTGTCATTATGCACTTTGACCGTCTCTTTTCTGTTGTGGGGTGTTGTGTTCAGTTCTCAACTCTGCAAGAAACCAAGAGAACATTTGAATGAAAGGTAATATCTGCACAACTTTATATTATAATACATATTATATATTCTAATTAATCTGCATGGATCATAATCCCTTCTCGGCGATATTCCACTCAGTCTTCATCTAATTCCAGAGTTGAACACACACGTAATTTAGGTGCTTTAAAATAATCTTAATATTTCTAATTGTACTGTAAAATAGTCGTGATAGTCACGATTATCTTTAACAGATAAGCCTGCACAGAAATAATGTATATGCACAACATAATAAGCAAAATGGTGTAATGTAACTAAGTGCATTTACTCTACTGTCCTTGAGTACAAATTCCAGGTACGCTACGTGTCATTTTTTGAGTATTTACCATAAACTGTGGTCTTGCCATTCTATATAACTTTATACTTGTACTCCACAACATCTCAGAGGAGTTTGACTCCACAATGTAGGCCACAGTTTTTCATTATATTCAGTAAAAACAATGTATAGCCTATGTGTTGATTTTGAATGGTTGTGATACACTGAAGGATATGGTCTTCCTTGATGAGTTGAGAAAACTCATAAAGTTACAGGTTCAGCTACAAAAAAAAGCAAAGTCACAAAACTGAAAAAATGGCTGTTCTGTGAATTCTAGATGACTGCGTTTGCCCATCAAAACACCTCAGGCTAAAAATCATTCAATGTGTGAAAAGACACCTTTGTCTTGTACAAGTTAAACAGATCTAACTTATAAATAATAAAAATAAAGATGACTATTGTAAAAAAATATTTGAGATTAAAACAGCTACACAAGAAATATTATAATGTATTTACACTAGGGAATTCCCCTTTGCAGAACTGGTTGATAGCATGCAGGAGTGGACGATGAAGAAAATCCTGCAAACTCCTGTTTTAACAAAAATGTGGGTTCTACAGTATATGGACCTTACACATTCTGACAAAATAAAACTGCAATATTTAAATTATATTCTCTCAAAATATTTTACATTGGATTTTCGAAAGAATTTGAGTTATTATGTGCTTGCATGGAGATGAGGTTGTTGTGTTTCATGTTATCCAGATATATAATTTCCTCATAATATGATTCCATTGAAAGACCATCAATGATCATATTTAATTATCATTATTAGCCCTAGTTGGTTATCGCCCAATCTTTAGTGATGTTCAGTACCTGATTAGATGGCATTAGGGTTGTCTTAGCAGTTCAACATTCTTCAACAGTTGTTTTTTTGAATATTCTTACATTTGATGCTGTAGCTAAAACGACAGAAAATAATTAGAAAAATGTTACTCTTAACACTTACTTCACACTCTTACTGTGGTAGTGTGAAGGTAAAACATCACAGAAAAGGCACACAAGATGATTGCTTGTGTTTAACCACAGACAATGGTGAATTATGTCCTTAGAGTCCACTACAACACTGTGAATAATATAAAAGAGCTTTTGCAAACAAAGTGTGTTTGTGTTTGGTGGGATAGGGGTACAATAATATGTTTTTCTGTGATTATAGCCATTCTCTTAACTTCTGAAAAGCATTTTTAAACATAAATCCTCTTACTGTATCATCGTAATAACAGTCATTATCAATTTCTTGACTGCCGGAGCAGACATAGGCAAAAGTAGTTTTTTGTTGTTTTTGAAATGGTTCCAACAATATTTTTTTATTTTCCTTTGGGTTTTTGATTATAACTCAGTCTTAATTGTTTTACCCATTGTGTGGAACCTACATTTGCATTTTATCAAAGTAGTTTCAAACATGACTGCAGCCTTTTAAGAGCATACTTTGATAAGTTAATTTCCCAAAGTATTAGTTTTAAAGGAACATATTTTGTGTCTCCACTATGACATGTTTCCATGCTTTAATGTTCAAAAAGCTCTTTATTTTTCTCATACTGCCTGTGCTGCAGCACCTCTTTTCACCCTCTGTCTGAAACCAGAGACCAGCCTGCTCCGATTGGTTAGCTGGCCAGCTCTGTTGTGATTGGTCAACCGCTTAGATATGTCCCACAATGTGTTGGAACACTTTCCAATAGAAGCTTGAGTTTTGCATAGTGATCACTATGTTACAAAGTGAACAAAGGAGTCCAATCGGGGGATTTGAGACTTTACAGACCATTTACATGCACTAAAACCTAAATAACACACTACAGGAAAGGGAAAACCCCAAAAAGCATAATAGGGAACCTTTACTCTTCAGTCATTCATTCATGTTCATTTAGATCAGGGGTGTCCAAACTACGTCCCGGGGGCCAAATGCGGTCCGCAGGCCATTTTGAAACGGCCCTCAGCTGATTTAAATAGTATAATGAAATATGGCCCACAAATTAAACTTGTCATATATTGTACTACTTAAATATATATGTAAACATATATATCACGGTATTCATGGCGTGCCCACCTTTCAAATAAATTCAATCAATTAAAGTTGGAAACATTTGTAAACAAATCTTAGTTGATATAAAAAGCCCAATAACTTATTTACATAACAAGCTTGAAATCTACCCTTTCTATTTCCCCTTAGTATAAGCACACTGAACTTTCTGTTTTAAGGAATGAGCTGCTGCTAACAAAATAAATGAAACACCTCTGGAGAGCTGTGATGTATACGCTGTTTTTTTCTTAAAGCATTTTCAAGTATCAAGAATAACTTACCTATATTTGATTGATTTTGCTAACTTTGTCTACAGTGATGGCACTTATAACTTAACTTATGAGGCAATAAACCTAGTGAGCGGCCCAGCCCTTTGTATATCTTTCTGTATTTGGCCCTCAGAGAAAAAAGTTTGGACACCCCTGATTTAGATGCACCAACCTGAACACTAATTCAGGTTGGTCAACTCTATGATAACTTTGCCTTGAACTCAAGAAGAGATGGAGCATTTTAAAATGGTTCGTTGCTATTTAAAGTGGTTGGACAATGCAGATCTCTAAAATATTCTCCTGCAGTGGAGATGTGGAGGTTAGCTTTTCATGCCTGCCGAAGGAAGACAATATGCTTTGAGTTGTGGGAGAGAGAATTGAGCCATCCTGCAGCCAGCGGCCAGGCTTTCCAAGTCTTCCACTGCCTAGGCAGAGATTTGAAGAGATTAACACACTAGCATTAGCTCAGATACAAGCCGAGGATTGAATTAATTATAGCATTCGCTGGGCTGCGGTGCATTCACATGGTGTAGCATTGAAATACCCCCCCCCCCCCCCCCCCCCCCCCCCCCTCCATTCCACCCCCAATAAGATTGGAACCTGTCCAACTCAGCCAGCGATGAATGCTCTATTTTTACCTTCTTTCTCATTTCAGTCAAGCTCATGCTAATGTGGGAGATAAAGAATATCAAGTGATTTTAGTTTGGAGGCTGGTGGGGAAACTAGTTTACATATTGTGCCTGATATGCCCCCAAGGAGTCTGCTGTGCTTTAGATTTTGTCCTCGTTTCTCAAAATATTTGATAGGAAAGGCTGGACAAATGTTGAGAATCTCCTAAAACATGAACATGTAATTTAAATGAAGATTACTTACAATATGTTATGTCTGGAAATGAGTGTTGTTACTTTATTAATAACACCAATTTGTTTCCGAATCAGATCATGACTGAAGAGGGGTTTGATGTGATGGTGGTTGGCTCCTGTATGACTGACTTGGTGAGGTGAGTTCATTTAGCCCATACTAAACTTTGTGTTTGTTTACAAATGACCATTAATCACCCTTATGTTTTATGAGAACGCTGAGTACAAAATCTTTGGCTAAATATGGGTTCAGGAAACTCCTGTGCTTCCTCAGGTGGGCCCAACAGGAAGCAGGACATTGGGCAACTGTTCATGATCATATTAGGATTCTTTTTTAAATGTTTCTTACCCTTTTGGTCTGGATCCATGTGGTTTTGCTTAGTATGAAGATTTCAACACTGATTTGTTTAATATGTTTTTGAATAATGAAAATGTAAAAGAAAATATATAATCTGTTCGCAAACTCTACAAAAAAGTTGACGTTTTTTTTAAGCATTGGCAACAGTAGTTACAACAACAAAAAAGATCCCCCAAGGAATTTCAATTGAACTACAAGATGTTTCTCTTTCACAAAATCACACATATACTACCCTGACTATGATTTATGTATTTTGTTGGAAAATCCCTCTTCAGAACATTGGTAGCTGCCAATGTCGCCAATGATATCTTTATCTTACCATCTTATACGTACAGTAGTAACCACCTTTTACTAGGTTCCTGTTTTACATGAGTCAGCTATGGACTGTAAATAAGAGATGTAAATTAGTTGGCATTTTGGGGGGCCATCTTCTTTTGGGACCAGAAGTGGATGAAATGAAAATACACTGTGAAGAAGTTTAAAGTACTAACAACAGAAACACGGAGAGAACAAAAACCAGACATCAACATGACCTGTCTTTCACAGGGTAGCCACGCCCTCAAGCATACTCTGCTCTACAATTTGACTCTAAATGGGACCATAATTTGCAAGATGAACATCATGCTGTATTGAAAAAGACTATAAACTAGCAATTGGGAACAAAAACTCATTAGGAAAAGTTATGAAAGATGGTATAAGGTCATTTTCTCGTTGACTTCTTTACACTTGGTCATCTTTTGAAGACCAGTGGAATCAACCCCTGTTGCATTGGCTTAACTTTTTCAAACCCTGTGTTTGCCATTGAAAGTCAGCAGGCAACAATCAAACAAAGTCATTTGACACTCATGTAATTACAGCTGAGAAATAATTCCAAAGTCATCATTTCATAAAGCAAAATGTACAGTTGCTGCTAGAAAGTCTGGCTTTGAGTACAACTGTCTGAATTCAAAAAAGCCTTTGCTTAAAAAATAACTACGAAATTCTAGCAGAAAATCTTCTCTCGTTATCAATGCAAACTGCATTATGTTTGTGTTTGCTCATGAACTCGACAGGCATATTATCAGTAATTTAGTGGGTGGTGGGTGTGGCTGACCAAACAGTCAAGTGTCTCTGTTTAAACATGTTTCCCTTTATTATTATTATTATTATTATTATATGCCACAACAGCCATTTTCCTTTGGTGACTTGCAGGCATGTGGAAAATATGGCATAAAGGCGCGAGGGTATTTTCCATCATGGTTTGAAATGGACTGCACCCTCCTGTCTGCTTAAGAATAGAGGAAGTTGTCCAAAATTAGATAATGTCTCTGGCTTTTTAATACTTGTCCTTAACGCCCATAATAATGTAAGGAAAATCCCTGGTTTAAGAGTGTGGAGGTTTTAGGCCATTAGGCAATGATAGTGAGCAGACTTCTCGTTAAATAGGGATGGGTTGGTGCATTTCCATATACTTCAGCTTCCTTTACACACATGAGCTGCTGTTCTAAAACATCCACTGATCTGCAGCAGGTTGTTATTGCTGTACAAATACCAAATCATTGATTAAGTCATTGACAGCTGATGTAGGTGTGCCCATCCCATGGTATATCTGACTCCACTTTCAGAGAGTGTGCAGAAGATCTGGTATAATTGCTGCTTACCGAAATGTCAGTGTTGCATCATCCTCTTACGTGGTGAGATTTGTTGAGCCAAGTAGGATCCATTCCCACAAATCATTAGTCATCAACTCCAGCACAATGGGTTAGTTAGAAAACAATTTGTCATCCTCATTTACCATAACCTTTGTGAGGAATGACACAATCTCAAAAGAAGCATTTAAAGCAAATACAGTGTAATGTCACGTCTTCATGGGCTTCAGCCATCGAGCTGTATTCCTGTCAGCGTGTGTGGCAGTTTTGTCACACAGCTTGTATTATATTTGTATATGAAACCCTGGAAAAAGAACTGTCACCTAGCTGCCAGCAAGTGGAGATTTAAATAAACAACCACAACTTGTGCCAGTGCCAGAAAAAGTTTCTCGACATTCTAGCGAGTGCAAGTTGTCACATTTTTGTTGTCACTCACAAGTTCCAACTTATGAAAAACATATGCCTTCTCCTACTGAGGTATTTGGATTTATTTTGTTGCTCATTAGCAATTCAAACAGTGACTTTCTGCTTTGAAGGGCAGGCGTTGTCAATTAAGACCCTTAATAAGCTAACGGGAAATGGCCTGTTTTTGGAGCGTGTGTGTGTGGGGTTGTTTTTTTTGGATGGGGGTCAGATAGGGAGGGGGTAGTTGGAATACATTTGCAGCCCTTCAAAGTGATATGCATGGCTTTGAAGTTAGCAATCCAGTTGTCTTTAACAGCCAGTGTTTGGGTGGCAGCACAATTGAGTGGCAGACAGCGGAGGCACACACTCTTCGGTCTTGCCATCCGAACACACTCAGATCTCTATGGTGCTTTGTTATAAGAGTGCCAAGCAAGAGTATACTATCCTTGTTTTTTACAGCTATAGTAAAATGTTATGTTGTATAGGTCTGCTGTCTGCAGTGCACAAAGAGGAGGAACAGCAGGGCTTCTCGTGCTTTAAACCCATTGTCAAAGCCATACAGTGCCCCCTACTGCCTCAGTCTACTGAGTGGAGGCGCTTATCACCTGCTCACTGGAATCTGAGTTTCCCAAATTGTTAGGCAGAACCACAAAGTACCACAACCGTGTTCCCACCAAAGCATAGTAAACACACCTTTATTCAAGTGTGGTTTGTAATGAATTTATCTGCACAAATTACAACAAATAGACTGGTTCAAAATAAGACAGAATAACAGTATTCTTCCTCCTTTTTACTCAGGGACAGGTTGTGGGACAGTGTTTGCAAAAATGTGGAATACAGGTGTTTTTTAGGTGTTGTAACAAGGTTACATTTAATCCAAGCACAATTCTTATCAGAGTTTAGCAAAACTAAGTTTAAAATAAGTAAAGATAAGATAAGATGTACTCTATTGATCCCAAATTGGGAAATGTTTTCGTTACAAATTTCAAAATAGAAAATAAGATTATATAAAACAGAACTAAAAAATTACAAATAATTTTCACCATGAAGATAAAAATCTGGAAACTCACGTTTATGTCCAAATCCATCAGATCTAGCTAGTTCTAGCTAATGATATGGCTGCTGCCCCTCCCTACACGCAGATCACACAGACTCAAACCTCATCTTATGCCCAAATTCCAGCTGAGAGGGTCTTCTCTACAGCTGGCCTGATTGTGAATCGCCTCCGCACCCGCCTCTCCCCTGAGTAGACATGCTCATATTCTTAAACAAGAATGAGTATTGATTAGCTGCATTCTGTGCATAGGCCCTGTTATAGGTTGTTGATCTCCGTTGTAATAGGGTTACATTACGACTTGGTTTCTATAGTTATTTGAACATGTATTTATATATATTTTTCAAAATTACATTTATTTTTTTTATTTTTGGAAATCTTTTTGGAAAAAATCTTTTATAGGATATGTACATTTTGGTTAAACCGATTAACCGTTTTTTTGGGGGTCGAATATTCGAATATACATTTGCTTTCAAATTCCCATCCCTAGAAGATATTAGTCCAGTTAACAAAAGAGAAACTATCGAGCTGTGAGTTCTCTGCCCGCCAGAGGTGATTCGCTGCACAGTTATTGCAGTAGGCAGGAATGTATTCCTGTATCTGTCCCTGTGATTTCATTAAACAGCTTCTCTACTACTTTGAGAAAATATGGTTGGCCACAATTAATTTAGCAAAATGCCAGCAAGTAATAGACAAAACAGCAACAGAGTAAGGAAGAAGAGACGGCCTGGCACCAACTGGCAGAAATTAAGAAAATACATGAATTCAATTAAAAAAGGCAGCAGCTTTTAAAGGCAGATCTCCTGAACTGTAATTCTAAAGGAAACACTGGATCACAATTTAACTTTGAACCGTTCATTTTTTGTGCAACAGCATTTCATTTAATCTAAGGTTAGAGAGAAAAACTAAACTGACATTTAAGGAGAAGTATGCATTACAATGTTTTATTTTAATTTTAACCTCATTTTAAAGTTTTGTGCAACATCATTTTAATTAAAGATATTAAAAAAATCAGTTTTGAAAATTAATCCATATTGAGTGAACTCAATCATAAAATATGAACTTTTTAGTATTTAATCAACAGTAGAATTGTTCTATTCCATAAGCTGTGTCCGTGATCCGTCTGCCAACCTTTAATGTAATTGTAAAAAATATTAATTTAAAAGGTTTTGAAGTATTCAATTCAGAGACAGAATGGGTTGATAAGTGGCTTATTATATCCACTGATATAGGCCATTTCTGAGTGAATAATAGCAACATGCACGTGGCTTCAACAAATGGTCTGACCACACAAAAATAAACGCCCACGTCCTACTCCGACACTGCACCTCTTGTGAGGGAAGCAGCTCACCATGCCCATGTAAGGTATGCTGTCTTTGCTCAACCTGTTCTTTGTTAGGTCCCTTCACCTTGTCCTGATTTACCGGAGCTTCTGCTATAGGGACTTTTATGGACAAGGAAACTTTCACAAAATGTGAACAAAAATATATTTTCTGAGTGGTGCATTCATCGGCTCAAAAAGCTGAGGCACACCAAGAGCTGAAGGTTAACACACTGATAAAAAAGAAATTCTGTGAGCAATACAACCATGTAGTATCCTTATTTATTGTCGTAATTATATGACATTTTTACAAGCAAAAGCAAAATCTTTTAATATTTATTATTTTGCCAATAGCTAGTTCACGTTGAGGTTGTGTTTTTCGACAAAGAAAAGCTTTTCAATTTGTTTTTGTCCCAAGTCTGCTTCCCCATGTTGCTCACCAACAGCTGAGGAATGACTCTAATAGAGAAGGAGGAGAGGGAAATGAGAGCCAGCCTCAAAGCAAACACTTCACGTCACTGAACACCTGCTCTGGCCTTTTGGTTCCATGGGAGAAAACGCACCGAGGTTGCACTTTAGTACATAACTGCCCTGTTTGTTTGGTGCACTCACCACAGACAACAATAACCAAGTGTCTCTTTGGCATGAAGAGGCGTAGGTGGGTTTATTTAAGAATTTGGAAATCTGTTTATCTTACCTTCCAGTTATCCGCCTTAAAGTGGCTGACGGCCAAATGTTATATTGACAATGTTGCGGTTGTGCTCATTATTCATCACTATTGTGTGAAAATCTCAAGCCATGAACACGTCAATGTAAAGTTCAAATATGGGAAGGCAGAAGATTTGTTAGTGACTATGGCGGACACAGATACATGCTTCTTCTTACATGATAATCACTCAAGTCTCTACAAGTGAAATGCCCTTGCTATCATTTAGTTTACTAGCATCGTGCACTCCACTTAAAAAATGATTAAAGACAAAAGAAAATGAAATAAACTAATAGATAATGTAGAGATACATTCCACCATACATGTATGTCATCATCTTCTTGACTCAATATGTTTGCCACTATGAGGGCAATCCTTGTAACAGAAAACCTAAGTTCTAATTGAAATGTTTAGTACCACTGTTGTAAAGATTCAACTAAATACAATTTTTTTTTTTTTTTGCCATTTTAGGAAATGCACTTACTGTAGTTGCTTTTTGCAGAGAGTTACATGAGAAGATAGATGCATTGTCCAGCATAAGTTAGAGCCACAGTTAGCAAGGCTAATTTTAGCTTAGCATATGTATTAGCCTACATTTCTGTTTTTTAGCTTAGCACAAAACAATTCCAGGAAATGTTTTATATGCTTTTTCTTCCAAAAGCCATATCTGTATGCCAAAATAGAAAACCACCATAAGAGGCAATTAGCTTAGCCAAGGGGGATGACAGCTAGGCTAGTTGTTTTGGTGTTGAGCAAAGCTAACCGGTTTCTAGCTATTGTCATATTTAGCGTAGCCTACAGATATGACAGTGGTATTAGTGTCTCTTTTTTTCAATATAAAAGACCTGAATGAACGATGTGAAACAGTTTTTCCCAAAAAACACAATATTTTAATTAATGTACATATGGGAGTCTATGTGCAAGGATTTCTTTCTCACCAAGAGAAACAGCTTTGACACGTGTGGGAAAACAGCTTCCTACCTATTCTACATATTCAATAACAATACGTGTGTGTGTGTTTACATGTGTTCAACCTTTGTTCCGTTTCCTTCTCACCACATTTCAGTCTCATTGACCCTACATCCTGTTATAGCTTTGGGCACTTTAGTGTTTTCACACGCCGGTGTGCAAAAACAGCAGCATTTATTGCCGCCTCCAGTGTTTGCCACTCAGTTACTGAAAATCCTGGGATAGAGTGAGCTTACTGTAACAGCACACATGTCACAAACACACTCGCAGTATAAGAAAGAGCAACAACAGGGGGAAAAACAAGTTTATGACAACATTTTGCCACCCGCAAACCCTTTGGCCCCGGGCCAGGATTGCCCGAAGCCAGACCACAGCATTCTGACGTACAATATGAAGTGGTCTGTTGTCTCTACTCCATGTTACTCACCACTCATTCTGGCTCTGTGACTGAAATCAGGGAACAGACAGCTCCTCCTGAGGGCAGCCACCTGTGGCATATCAACCTCGAGGGGGAGGGCAGGACTTTACCCAACCCTGATGAGTCACGGATTACTAGTGCAGCCAACATCAAGTTGAGACGTCTATGGTTTTTGCTTGTTGCATCATTTGCACAAATTGAGAAACTTGCATGGACACATCTTCAGTCAAATATTGAGAATGCCTTTAACAATGATGAGCCAATGGCAAACTCCATATTAGGTTTTATTGCTGCTTTCGAGTTTAAGTATGGAAAAAGGGGGGTTAGGGGGTGGGGTTCCAATGCTCCATTGATTCTGGCAAAGATTGCACTTTGTTGACCTTTTTTGTGAAAGCCCTTCCCAAGACCAAAAGATGTAATCCTCAGCAGACTCAACAAAGACCTATTGTCTTCCAGTGATAAATAAAGAGCTCAACCAGGAAAAGATTTGGCCCTGAAGGTTTACAGTATCTTCACATTTTGGCATCTCCCTTTACTTCTTGGTTTCAATGTAGAACGCTCACACTGCCAAATAACATATTTTTCATAGTTTGAAGGAACATTTTCAAACTTTTAGTTGCAGTGTGAAGAGACTGTTGAGATGAAAAATCTAATTAGGACTGCAATATCCAGCCAAAGCATGTTTTTAGGTAGAAGACTCTTACTTTTTCATCCTCTAAATCCTTTGAGGTTCTTTTGAATGTGAAGGTGAACTCCATAAAATGTTGCTAATTGCCTGTTTATTTTTTTTACCTCAGCCAGGCACCAAGACTACCAAAAGCTGGGGAAACCATCCATGGTCACAAGTTCTTCATTGGCTTTGGAGGGAAGGGGGCCAACCAGTGCATACAGGCTGCAAGACTGGGAGCCAAAACCGCAATGGTCTGCAAGGTATGACACTGGAATCAAGTTTGCAGAAATACACTGTTGCTGTGATTTACATTATGTGTGTACGTTTGGATCCAAGCATTAATGTGTGCATTTTTGAAAAAAAAGTTGATTTGCTTGTCCAACCTTTGTTTCATCTACGTCCAGCTCAGTACAAACACAGCTACCATAGTCCGCCAACTAGTTAACAATTCCCCAAAACATTGCAGCTTCGTTCACACTTCAGTCATTTCACCACATCAACTCTCCATGCCTCATTTTCTCTTGATCAATACTATACCGCATGCATACGCCCACCCACACTTGCGCGCCTTCAAACAAGCCTATTCCCATACCATACAACCCAGAGTCTCCAATCAGTACGCTCAGCGTGGCCTTTCAACCCGCGCACTAAAGCACCGAAGCCCCACCTCTGTCAGAACAAAGAGGCCCGATCGATAACAACCCAGTGCGGGAGGAGCTCTCCGGGCATGGGGAGAACCCAAAAATAGACACCCGGGCTTGTCAAAAACATCCAAGACGTAAGGCCACTCTTCAAAGAGATTGGGGCCAAGCAGCCAATACCAGCCCAACCCATTATCACAGGCAGCTAGAAGTGCCCTCGTTTTGGCACATTTTTTGGAAAGCGTGGGTTCGAAGTAGGCGCCTCGGGGCAAGGTGGGGACCCCTTCCACAACCCAAAGTAGCTACAGATGTGGACATCCCAATGCGGAGCAGGGGAAGAGGGGAAGGAGGGAAGGAAAACGAACGTGAGGTGGGTATGAAGAGGCGTGAAGGCGGGGTTATCGTGTCTTCGAGGCTTGGCGCAGCTGGTTGTGTGTTTTCGCGTGTGTGCATTTCTTGACTTTGTGTGTTAGTTTTTACACATTTTCGGCGGCGGCACCATGCCAGTATGCTGGCAGGGCACACGAAAATCCAACCCAACTGAGGTTTGACTATACCACTTTTCAAAAGTTGCCGCTAACCAAGTCTGACCCCGCTTGACACTCTCTTTGTTGAAATCGTTTTGCTTTCCATCTTTTCTAGGTTGGTAAAGACTTCTTTGGAGACAATTACATTCAGAATTTCAAAGACTATGGTGTAAACACAGGTACGTTTTTTTTCTTGCATTACTGCATGCCAAATTGGTTGCCATTTCCATGTTGCATGGTAAGAAGTTCACGGTCAGAGCGATTATTTTTTGCCTGTATTTTGTCAGTTCTGTTTAGTTGCTCATGCTTTTGGATTTACTGGGAGATTTCTCTATTGTTATGTCCAATGGTGGGTAACCAATTGGAATTTGTTTAAAATAAAGTTGCTTTTCAAAAGTTGCTCATATCAGACTCCAGATGTTTGTGGCCTGTCTCTTCATAGACAGAACCGAAGGAATTCCAAGCAATTATAGAAGTTACTATGGTGACAAGTGTGTTTTATGAAACACAAATAATGGATGCTTTCAAACTCTGTTATTCACCTTTCGTATATTCCCTCTGTCTCAGACTTTGTCGGGCAAGCATCTGATGCAGCCACAGGAGCTGCCTCAATCATTGTCAACGATGCAGGTAAATGCTTTTCTTTTGCCACTAGCTCATGGCATCCTCCTGAGATCCCAAACACTCTTTCAGTTGTAGAAATTGCCTTATACTCTACAGGCTCAACCAAGAGTGTATGCTTGCTACCAGCAAACTCTTTCTTACTACTACACAAACACCTTCACACAAGCTGTACGCCCATGCATTTAGTGGCGCCATTGTCACATTAGTGTTGGAGTGACTAAAACCAACACACACACACACAACAATCCAAGACTTTCTCCAGGGAGAGTAATTTCTGTCATTTTGCAAATACACTTTTACACATTTAGATGTCTAAAATAATCCCATGTTATGTGGATGCAGTCTTGGATTTGGATCCCTTTTTCTACAATTTAACATGGAATTAGGTGTTTGAATTCAATGATTTTAAAGAAAGAATAAGTCCAACTGAAATTTGTTATATAAGAGATTGATTTAAAAAAAAGAATCATCTAAATTCTTGTCCACATGCCATGCTGCATTAGTTTGAAAGCGTCAATTTAGTCAAATGTGTTAAGCGTTTTCCTTAAGCGGTGAAAGACAAAGCTTAAGAAGAACAACACACAAATGCACGACAAAACGTAAGTGTTTATGTGGGTTTATTTGAAGTATTTGAAAGATTACAATGTGATAACAATGAAAATAAGTATATTATGGCGTGGGCCAGCGCATAGCTCAATTGGTAGAGTTAGCAGCCCATGTACCGGGGGCTTGGTCCCTAAGCGGAGGACCCGGGTGTGAATCCGGCTGGGAAGCATTTGCCTGCCTGTCATCCCCATTTCAACTCTAGCCTCATCTCAATACCCCTCCTCGACTCCTCTCTTCCCCTCCTCCGGGACTTGACCCGGAAATCGATCAAGACACGCCATTTTGAAGGACGTCCCAATAGCTGAAATGCACACGGAGGAGTCGAGGAGGGGTGCCGGAGGAGACGAAAGGGAGGATACACGAGAGCAGACTACGCGGAAGTGTTGTCACTACTCGCGTATAAAAGCCCCGCCCCCACCTTCACAGCTGGTCGATTTCAACACAGGAAAACGGAGAACTGGAAGAATGAGTGGAAAAGCGTCACATAAATGTATAAGTGCTCACAGCTCCGTGGGAATTATTATGTGCAATTCATTTCTTAAGGTTATACTAACAATTTAAGTCATGTTTAATGATCTTGAACGTCACTAAAACATAGCTATTAAGAAAGCTATTTCATAAATGGCTAGATCTTGATAAATAACAATTGTTTGTTTTGTTTTGTGTTAAGATATTCAGTAGTTAAATTATTTTAAATTCACAGTCCTGAATGTTGGTTTCTGGTGAATGTGGGGATCTACAGGACACACATTTTCAGAGTAAAGGCTTTTACATTATTATAATTATAATTTTATTGAAATGTACATTTTACACCAAAACGGAACACAAAAGCAGGACCAACCATCATACATTGAATTCCTTGACTAACAAGAGAAAGATTCATTCATTTAAATACATATTTAACAATAAATGGGCCGGTTCTAAAGGGTTATTCAGTTAAACCCAATGAGAGGGGATACAGCTGTGCACATGTCATCATTAACAGACGTCGTTTAAGAGTGACGTTTGAGTGAACGAGGACATCCCAATTAATACCTGAGGACTCCTCTGTCCTCGCGTCACCTCCTCGTGTCTCTCGCTCGCATCTTACGGAGGCAGAGCTAAGACGCAAGGAAGGGACGCGAGTGAGGGAAAGGAGGAGTCGAGGAGGGGTATTGAGACGAGGCTTCTGTCTCTATAATTAAAGCACCGGATGCCCTAAAAAATCATTGAAAAAAAGTATGTAAGGCATGACAATTTTGAGGGAAACTTGACTATTAATGTCCTAGTTGACACTGAACATTTTCACTTTTTATACCAAGGTCAGTTGCTATATTGCCCTCACACATACTGTGAATAGTGTGAAAACATTAAAAGTACAGTAAGCCCCCACAGTTTCTTACATCACACATCCCGTATTTAGCCCTATTTATGGAGTTGAGAGTTCCCATGGGTTGTCAAAGTCATTACACGGTGGCTGTTGTTTCCTCACACGTCTCTTTTGGTGTCCGCGGGCAGGTGAGAATGCCATTGTGATCGTGGCTGGTGCCAACATGCTGCTGGGCAGTGAGGAGCTGCACAAAGCTCTTCCAGCCATCAGTCATGCAAAGGTCCTGGTGTGCCAGCTGGAGATCAGCCCACAGACGTCCTTGCAGGCGCTACGCATGGCTCAGGAGAACAAAGGTCAGTGAGTGTATTTGTGCTTTACATGATGGTGTGTCCACAGCTCACGTGCAGGTTGCTCAGTTGCCAGGGTGAACATTCTAATAGGGGCCATATTATGCATTTTTGGGTTTTCCCTGTAGTGTGTTTTACAGGTTGTTGTGCATGTATATCTCCCACACACTCCCCCCCCCTGCCTGAAGTGCCTTCATTGGACTCCTTTGTGTACTTGTTCACATCACTTTGTGACACTCGCGCTTCTACTGGCTAGCGCTCTAGCACATTGTCCGTGTTTGGCTAAGGGTCAAGACATCTCAAAGCAATTCACCAGACCAATCACAACAGAGCCGGCCAGCTAACCAATCAGAGCAGACTGGGCTATGGTTGCAGATAGAGGGTGAACATACTGTAGGTGCTGCAGCACAGGCAGTATGAGAAAAATAAAGATGTTTTTGAACATTAAAGCAAGTAAAAATACAAATATGAAACCTAAAAAAGAGCATTATAGGGCTGCTTTAAGACAAATTCTTCCCACTGACTCGAAGTAATATTTTCACGAGTGTTTGTTAGGTCACTGCAGCTCACATTCCACATAAAACACCATGTCTGTACTAGGGGTGTAACGGTTCACAGAATTCACGGTTCCACCACTCGCACTCCATCGTTATTGTAGTCCACAGGGAACGCGAACTGTTCCCACACAGCTGATTTAAAAGAAGCAGATGGGTCTTCTCTTCTAGCTCCTGTGTGTTATCTGAAATCGCCAGACTAACTTTTCTTCTTCTTGTATTTTGTTCGTTTTGTTGTGTTTTCTTCTTGTTCTTCATTTGTTGTTTAAGGGCTGGCAAACAGCTTTTAGGCGCAATACCGCCCCCTGGATTATATATAGTGTAATGGATACTGCCCTGAGTGACAGACTTTTTTCCCACTCATAAAAAAAGGCGTATTCGTCGTGTGACTGCATGTGCCGAACCGTGACATCCGAACCGTGACGTCCGAACCGTGACGGTTCGGGACGAATACGGATACCGTTACACCACTAGTCTGTACGGATATTGCCAATTGATTCATTGTTGTCCTGCGTAAACGGTAAATGGTATCGCCCCTCTTGAAAGCTGGTGATCCCACTGAGTTGAATAACTATCGTTCTATCTCAAATCTTTCTGTGTTATCAAAGATTCTTGAGTCCCTAGTTTCTACTCAACTAAAACTTTTTTTAAATTCACACAACATCCTTAACCCTATGCAATCTGGATTCAGATCAAAGCACAGTACTGTGACTGCCAGTCTGAAAGTCTTAGACGATATTAAGGCTGCTTGACCTAGCCAAAGCATTTGACACTGTAGATCACCACATTCTATCTAATGTTATGTTGATGTCTCGTTTAGGTCATAACGCCATTTGCTGGTTTCAGAGTTATCTAACCGACCGTACTCAATGCGTCAGGTTGGGTAGTACTATCTCTGACCCTGTCACCTTGGAGAAGGGAGTTCCACAGGGCTCTATTTTGAGGCCCTTGCTCTTTTTATTATATGTAAACAATATTTGTAATCAGATGCAATTTTCTACCTATCATATGTACTGTATGCTGATGACACTATTGTATATTCATGTGCTCCTTCTCTGGATATGGCCGTTTCCAATTTAAAATCTGATTTTATCACGCTGCAGCATGCACTTCTTGATTCCAAACTGCTATTGAACAGTAAGAAAACCAAAGCAATGCTTTTTGCTCCCAAGTCAGCGTCCTCTTGCCTCTCCATTGACACCCTTGATGGCATCTCTGTTGAGTTTGTCGATACCTACAAATATCTGGGCTTTTGGTTGGACAGTAATCTGAACTTCAAACACCATATTGAAGTTCTAACAAAGAAATTGAAATTCACTCTTGGCTTCCTTTTCAGACTTAAATGTTGTTTTTCAACTTCATCCCGTAAAAGGTTGGTCTCTGGCTTATTCCTCTCCCAGCTGGACTACGGTGATACCATTTATAGATTTGCCTGTCCCAATGTTTTGGCCAAACTTGACCCAATCTACCATGCTGCACTGCGATATATATCAAATGCACCCTATAGGTGTAGCTATACTCATCATTGCAAACTGTATAGCCTAACTGGATGGTCCTCACTTAATATGCGTAGGATGCAGCATTGGTTTTTATTAATGTATAAAGCCATTTTAGGTAAGCTTCCACTATGTGCCAGATTTGCTCCAGTTTGTGACTCTTACAACCTCAGATCCAGTGCCTGGATACGGTTCCAGGTTCCTGCCGTGCGGACTGAGGCTGGAAAAAGGAGTCTTTTTTATTATGGTCCTTGGTCTTGGAATGACCTTCAATCAAGCCTAAAACTGAGGGCACTTGTCTCAATAGCATGTTTTAAATTTAAGTTGTCTGAAGTCCTTACCACCAGCTGCTCTTGCAGTAATAAGTAGTGTACTTTTCTTACTGTCCTAATGTGCACAATGTAGTGACTGCTTTTTCGTCTTTTGTTTTCTTAGTTATGTTCTCTGTATTTTATATGTTTGTGTTATGTGCTATGTGTAACGTTGCTGCCTTCTTGGCCAGGTCAGCATTGTAAATTAGATTTTATCTCAATGCTTTTTTATCTGGTTAAATAAAGGTTAAATAAAAAAAACGGAACCAATTTCAGACCCTTCCTCTCGCCACCTTTTTGGTGATAACCAGGTTATTGAGCTCATCATCTTTAACAGCATCCTATTATTAGCACGCCTCACGTCATTCGATACGTCTGGGGAGCCTCACGCCCCTGTCATCAGGGCCTGTCGCTGGTAATCGCTCGCTGCAGGCTGCCAGAGCGAAAGAGTCGCAGCCACAACCGTGTTGCAGATGGGACACCCAGATGGCCTCGCCGAGTGCCACCCTCTTTCCCCCGAACCCCCCCTTCCTCAGTGTCGACCGTACCATGGGATCAGGCTCTGCATGTGGTACCAGGAGAGAGGCAAGGCGAGCGAAGACGCTTGGCAAAGATGCCATCGTCTCCACCAGAGACTTGCGTAAATGGAGTTCTCTGGAGGGAATGGGTGTTAATGGGTTTGGCGGCGAGGATTTAATGGTGCGGGGGTGAAGCGTCGCACAAATTACGCAAATGTCACCAGCGAGCCACACGTACTGTTGATGCCAGCTCTCGAAAAACACTTGTTGAGAAGAGTTTAGGTTCCTCACGTGTAATTAGTTGAGAGAAAAAAGTATCTATATATTTACTTCCATCTAATATTGAGAAGTTAATGGAATTACATTCATTTCTAAGACCTTAGGAAATGCTAGGAGTTGTGTAGTTTCACTCTTTTTTTTCTCTTCCATCTTCAACCCCCCCTTCCTCTTGCTTGTCTGAGCAAGAAGCCGCTTTTATATTTCTCACCAGATGCAATTAGAGCCTCTTAAAGCCCTTTCACACACTCACTGATGACTCATTTACTTTGTGTGTGTGTGCTTCCAAGTAGGAGCGTGCAGGGGATCTTACCCTGTTTTCCCCTCTGCTCTTGTTTTCCATCCACCTATCCTCCCAAAATCCACCAAAGCAACACACTGCTGTATTTTTGTGCTTCCTCGAGCTGACCTGGTTGCTTTTCCAACACATCTGCAAGCAGACTTTGAACTTCCATGCAAAGAAAAAAGCCCAGAGTCATGACACACACATTCTCCTGCCAGACGTGACTCAGTATGCACACAAGCAAGTATTACCACATCTGTCCCAGCAGCTGTGAGCATGTCTGTGTGTTTGTGTGTGTGTGCTGGAGTGTGTTTTACCAACACCTGGAAAGCAAAACATGCAACCTGAGACCAACACACGGTAAAAGTGACGTCCACAGTAGCAGCTCATGGCATCAGAGAGGCAGATTCCTTTATGCATGGTTGTATTAGGGATTTAACACAAGCTGCTCCTGTGTGCATATTGATAGGCTTCCATCCTCAGCAGTCTTATTGCATGTTTACTTAATGAGCATTGGGCCTATGCATCAGCACTGAAGTGACGCAAACGCTGCTTTTACGCCACAGTTCGCAACAAAAGGACATGTTATGGAAGACAACATTGTTCTACCAGTTCTTTCCATGGCTACAGATGCTAACTATTGACAATAGTACATGAAAAGCCTTGTAAGTGATTGAGCAATATAGCCTGCTTACATAGCATATAGTATATATGTTAAGTGCTTCAAATAACTTTAATTTATTTAAACTTTAACATAATGTATTACAATTAATAGCACAATTAGGCTCACATATTCAGCCCGTCCGATTGTTGGGCTTAATTTGCTTCACATGTTTGTTATGCATGTGAGCTTCTGAGGAACATTGGAAAAATGTGGAGGAGAAAAACAGCTGATTCCTCTTTTGAGTGGAAGAGGGGTTTTTATTATACTGTAAATAAACAGGTTTTTAAACGGATACATTCAATGATATTCAAGAATGTTATTTATTTTTCCACTGCACAATTGCGCCAAGGAGAAAAAATTGTTTTTCCGAGAAGGCAACCTTGGCAGAAGAAGAAGAAAAAACTGATTTAAAGCGCTTTCGAAAGCCAACATTTATGTCAGTTTTAATCAAATCTGTGTAATTGGGCAATTGTGGTAATCAAAACTCTGCATGGACATTTTTTGACACAGGTTAACAACATAAGTGGAAGAGGACTGGCTTGGACTTTTGCAGAGTTCCGGTGTTTGCTTGACATCTGGACCAAAGAGAACATACAAATTATGTCCTCAGAAATAACGACATTTATAAAGAAATTTGAGATAAACTTGAGGAAAAGGGATCTCCGGCGCTTTCTACTTTATGTTGCTTGGTTAAAGTTAGCATTGTGTTGGTTCTCTAATAGCTTTTTTTTCCATCCCACAAAATAATTAGTTTCATTTACAAGTGGAATATTTACTGAATTTCCAACAAAAAAAACATACTGTAGCATGGAACGGGACGGATAAAAAGGCTGACTCATATCTGGGTTTTAGGACTCATTCGTTAAAAATCTATTATAAGACTGACGTGTTTTGATTTTGCATTGCTTATATTGACAGTAAAAAAATTCAGACGTATTCTTTAAAGATCCCTGGAAAGCATTTGTGGCGAAAGAGGAGATAGGGAACTGATATAAAAACCTTCAAACAGACGAGAAGACAGAGATCCCTCCTTTATGCAAAAACGGAGGCATTGCACTTCAGAGATCTCGCACTTCGAAACGGAAGTGATGGATCCTGAGGGGGAATACAGTTAACATAGAGAGAGAGGGAAGAAGAGCAACCTGGTGTCACTTTTCTTGTGACATGTCCATAGTACATGTGGGTACACATACAGTATATGAGTGTGTGTGTGTTAGGAAACAGATAGACGATATTTCCACTTTTAGCGAGCAGCCCGGCATCCACCTCAAAGCGCCAGGTGGCCAAAGCCCTGCACAAACCCACGCAGCTGCTCTCTTATGTGCCCACGCAAACACACACACAGCAACTAGGCACACACTTTAGCACAACAGACTTTGATGTCACCAACGCTGAACATACATTTCCCTCACACACACACTTGCATGAGGCTTTATTTTGTACACAGAGATATCAGAATTAATCGCTTCGTCAAGCTGGGCTTATCCTCACACATACACAGAAATCATGGTATTAGATGCATTAATGCTCTGTGCTCATGAATATGCATAAGACAGTGATGTGCAACACGTACAGAGGATTACTTCTGACAAACACTCTTGCTCTCTCTCTCGCTCTCACCCTCCCTTGCGCTCCTCAACACACAGAGAAAGGGTCACAACTCATCTCACCCACACACTGACACACATATATAGGGGTTATATGCCGCATATTGACACACACTACCCTATAACTGCAGGGGTTACTGCGTACCACAAAAAAAGCTGCAGGATGTGAAGCTGTTTCCACCAGCATTTTCTCTTTTTTATTTCAAGGAATGCTAATTTAATCGTTTAAAAGGTGTCTTTTTATAGAAGCTTACCCACTTGAGCTATGCCTGCAAAAGCAATTCCCAGTGGTAGCCCACTAGTCTTTGTTCCCATTGAAAGTGTAATTAAGGTAATGTCAGACCTTGACACTGAAGCTTAGCAAATGGAAAAGAAACTTCACACAACTGTAAAATGTGTCACTGACGGACATTGTAACAATTGTATCCCTTATTTAACGGCAAGCTGACAGCTATAACTGAGAAAGGTTTTATTTTCTTAACTTGTTAAGGATTGCATGTTATCCCAAGTGACTTGTAGATTACAATGGTTTACTGTGTGGAAAATAAAATGCTTGGTTTCTTGTTACAGTAAAGACTATATTCAACCCAGCGCCGGCCATTCCTGACTTGGATACAGATTTCTACAGAGCCTCTGATGTGTTTTGCTGTAATGAGTCTGAGGTGATAATACACACACACACACACACACACACACACACACACACACACACACCCGCACACACACTCTGGCCGTTTCTCAATCGCGAGTTCCAAGTATGCTGGAGATTGGAACAGTCCTTCGGCGGCACTCGATGACGTAGCATCCTTGAAATATTGGCTTGGAAGCCAATATCCTCGCGATTGAGAAACGGCCACTCTCTCTCTCTCTCTCTCTCTCTCTCTCTCTCTCTCTCTCTCTCTCTCTCTCTCTCTCGCTCTCTCACACACACACAGATACACACAGATACACACAAACACAAACATTTGAACAAAATAAATAAAACCAGTCCTACACTGTGGGTACTAAATTGACCGGCTTTCTGTTTGCAGTACGTGATATCAGTTGTAGATTTATCATCATTATTTGTCTTTTTGAGAAAAGATTTTGAATGTCACATCAAGGTAAACAACAGCAGGCGTTGTGTATTTTAGCTAGCGTTGATGCTTTCTGGAAATCCCTAGCTATTTCCTCTAGCTGTATACTTAACAAGGCTATAAAGCTAATGAGCTCAATGAGTTGCATGAAAATGTTTCAGTTGGCTCAGGAAAAAACTCTTTCAGGATATGTTTTTTCTGATGTTTTGGTAAATGAAACATTGTCTTGGGTACTGTTTGCTGGAGTTACTGGAACGTAATCAGTGTTTCCCACAGAATTTGATTCTATTTGTGGGGGCACCGCACCCCCGGCAAGAAAAGCCAAAGGCCCCTTAACCTATTCGGGTGGCCCACGCATCCACCCCCCCCTCAAATAAGAAAATACATGCGAGTTCATGGCTAGCGGACAATGTTTTTGTTACTCTGTGTTGCGTTGTTAATGAGTGAGACACACCGGAGTTGAGGATCTGTGGGGTTTATTCTCCCAAAAATATAATTTACAATTTACAATTTAGGCATTTAGCAGACGCCTTATTCCAAAACTTGCAATGACCAATTACAGGGACATTCTCCCTGGAGTAACTGAGGGCTAAGTGCCTTACTCAAGGGCACACTAGTAGTGGTGTTCCAGGTGAGAATTGAACTCGCAACCTTCCGATCATCAGCCCACCTCACTATCCATTAGACCACCAAAATAAAAAATAAAAAACTATAATTTTTTTTTATGACATCCATTTGTGGCGGACGATATTTAATTGTGGCGGCAACGCTAGCTGAATGTGGCTTCAATGTAGCCTTTACCCAACAAATTAATATACGGTAGTTTGTTAATGATGCGCTCCTTGGCATTGAATCTAGGTAGTAAGCTAGTTAGCCTGGAATGCTAACTCTTGCAGTCCACAATAGAGCAGATTACCAATTTCTTCTTACACGTTTTGCTTGTGTTTTTAGTTTTGGAAAGGCCTGGAAAAGGACACAACCTTCATCTTGGTGAATGGTCAGGATTGTTAAAATCAACACAAACTGCTGTTTGAATGTGTCAACACTTGTTGAAAACTAACATTGGAAGCCTTTGTTTTGCCAACCCAGTCTCACGGCATTTCGTGTTATAGTCACAACATTTAATCTATTGATTCACCAACACGATTTTCCCCTTTTTGATGCCGGACTTTTTTTGCCGTCAATGAGGAAAAGAATTGGGGCTCAGAATACTGAAATATGTATTTTTAAAATATTTTTTTCCTTCTAATTTGTTATTCTTTTCTAAATAACACACTGTTATTTACTCAACAATAACACACAATTATCCTTGTTTTTATTTATTTGTTTAATTATATAATCTCTGGCTTTTTTGCCGTCCGTCAGGAACTGAATTTCAAAATAAAGTCACCGGAAACAGACATTTCCGGGACATTTCGATACACACCCACTGAACTGATTACCCAAGATCCTCAGCTATGGTTGAAGCTCGGTGATTGGATGTTTTAGCCGCAATGCACGTTGGGATATGGTGTTTATGCGATATGAAATCCGAAAACATTTAAAAAAAATAATAATAATACTTTAATCCAAGTGTGCTTGCTTTTCTCTTTGAAAGTCATCACATAACGGCATTGTAATACACGGTTCGGCTGCATTAAATATTACACATCTGCCGTAGTTCTTTATTTATAGAGCCCTGATGAGAAGACTTCTGGACAAACTGGAAGAACTGCCGCAGAAACTGAATATGTGACGTGGATCATAAATATATCAGCAACCACCTAGTGGTTAAAGCACGTTATTGAATATTTTTGTTGAATATGTTATATTTGATGAAAAAAATATTAAGGTGCCGTTTACACAAGGACAAAACGGCTTGTATCTGCATAGTTTCTCTTGCGTATAGCCCTATTATTTACATGAGGCCGATAGAAACGGACCCCACAAACGATAACGGGTCCCAAGGTGGATAGATTTGCAAACGAAACTCTCTGGGGGGTTAAACGAGTCCGTGTAATCGCCTCTATACGAATATTTCCTGAAAAAATAACGATAGCCCCACCTCTCCCCACCTCTCCCCACCTCTCCCCACCTCTCCTGCTCACTGCTGTAGCATGGCCAGTAGCCATCTGTAACGATCAACTATCAAAAATAGCTTTGTTAATTAAACGCACAAGGGGTTCTTGAATGAAATAATATTATAAAAGGCAAACCAGAATTGTTAACGCCCAATATACTCCTTAAACAAAATAAACACAGTCAGATTTCATGCATTGATCCATTATATTGACAATTTTCCAGCCAAACAACGCAAACAAAATTAAACAGTCCGCTCTGCATACACCAAACTTGTCTTTACTGCCAAATCCAGGCCATTATTGTTCATTGCTCCTGCGCCCGTCGGCGGCAAAAAGAGAAATGTTTGTAGGCCTATTCAGGCTATAATCCACACACAAAAAGGAAACACGAGGACCGGCGTGTCCCAGAGGAGCGATCTCACCCGGTGTTTGTAGAGAATATCTCTCTTTCTGAGCGCGTTCTCTCCACGAGACGTGCTTCTTGGTCGGTCGATGCAATATCCACAGATTCGGTTTCTTTCAGTTAACTTCCCCGTTGCATTTATCCATATATTTACATGCTGAGGAAATTACTATATCCCGCTGAATACCAGCAATCGCCACACACACTTCCTCCTGTCAGTAGCTACTGCTAGTGCTACTGCTACTGACCATGCTACAGATGTTAGTGCAAATTATAAAACGGACAAGTAAAATCAAGCAATCTGATTGGTTCTTAGCCGTGGTATACTGAGCGTATACCACGGGTAGAATTGTAAGTTACTTTTCACAACAACTCAGTATCCCTCCGCGTCTGAGATAAACAGTATACAGTTGGGCTGAAAAGCAAACTGCAGGCAGTTTGCTTTTCAAACTGGAACAAGAAAGCAGCGGAGAAGTAACGGGGCAGAAACCCTCCTTTTTACGCAACGGTCCAGACATAGACATCAAACGGCAAAAACATATTCAGTGTGCAGTTACTTTGGCATTAGGGCAGGGATATTTAGATACTTTCCAAGGTTTGACATAATGAATTGTGCTACTTTTAAAGCAAGCAACGATGTTTTCAAATCTGTAATCAAAAAGGTCCGCAAAAACATTTAAGATTAACTTCGACCTCCGGGGGGGGGGGGGGGGGGGGGGGGGTCTTACTATGGAGGAGTGGATTGAGGAGTGCCTATCTCCAGAACAAAAAGCACCTAAACGACGACATGTAGAGCTACGTGAAGAGCAGGTAGACCAACTGGAAAAGTACCACCATTCAAAAGCTTTCTGATGCGGGTCTTGAAACAAAGCAGAGAAATTATGACCGTTAGTGGCCACAGGTGCGAAAGCTCTCTCCAGAGCTACTGGAAGCCGAATCTCGGGGACCGGGGGTTGTCGACCGGGGGTTGTCGACCCTCCGCTTCGCGTCGGGCCGAACCACGCCCCTTAGCTGTGATATAATGAGCATATACCACGGCCTGTCGTGAGCTATTGCTTAAATATACAGCTCCTCTACCACAACCATCAGCAACAAGTGGACATGGAGAATTACATGAACTACATGTTGCTAAATCCACCGCGGGGCATAAATAGAAGGGTAGCCATGGCAACATTGCTGCGGGGCTGCTCCGGAGTCTTCTTCGCTGCTTTTGGAGTACATACAAAATAGGGGGAAAGTAGAAGGTCAATGATAGAAATATAGAATATAAAAAATCAAGAAGATACTGTAAGTGATCTCTACAATAAAACAGTTTAGTGCCGGATGTACAAAGATATTAATAGGAGGATGTGCAAAACAGACAAACTAATTAACCTTTATTTACACATTAAAGAATATTTTAGGTTAAGGTCGTCTTTTAAATAAGAAAAAAGCTTTGGGGGTACTTAGCGTCTAATATATTGCTTTCCTGCAATGTTAACTATAATAATAATAATAATACATTACATTTATAAAGTGCTTTTCCTGGTGCTCAAAGCGCTTGAGGGTTTAGAGGGTTTTTAACTATGTTGAAGCACTTATTTTAACTGATATTATACATATTAATTATACTCTAATGTATGTAGATAGTATAAGAAATGTGCAGAATATGAGGTATACACACATATTGATAGATGTCTTGTAATGCACTGTTGAGGAACCTGCGACCCAAGTTTTTCATTCATTGCATAACTTCACCGTAGTTGTGTATATATGATATGTCAATAAACCTTAGAAAATCTTGAAATCTTGAAAGGGATGTGCAAAATAGCCATTATATACAGTCTTTAATGAACTATTAGAGAATAACGAGTAATGAATATACTTTATAGCAGGGCTCTCCAACACGTCGATCGGGCAGCTTTTCAGTAGGTCGCCGCTCGATTATCGATTATAGCGTAGTAAGGTTGCTTATTGATTTTTCGGCCGCGGCTGGACAATAACGTTTTTTTATTTTAGAATTTGTTCTGTCACACGAATATCAAATTGGTCGGTGATGCAGAGGTCAAGGAACAGACGTGACAGCGGCACAGCGACACCACACACAGAGCAGTCTGCTTTCTCCACCAACACCAGTCCAGAAC